CTACCACGGACATCGCGGACGAGAGTTCGGTGCGCCGCTTCGGTGCGCCGCTGCCTTGCCGCCCCGTGGGTGCATCTCACCCAAGCACCCAGATGACGCACTTGACCCCGGATGGCAGGGCGTTCGCGCTGTCACTTTCCCACGCCTCGGCTCGTCCTCGACATCGACGTGGAATCATCGACCCGACCGCCGTCATCGCCGCTCCCATCGAAACCAGCGTTCGACCCGGCCATCTTTGCGCGAGTACGCCTACGCGGCGCTCCTCGGGCGCCGCCCTCGCCGCCGCGCTCGCCTCCGCCGCCCTCGCCGACGCCGCCGTCGCCCTCGCCCTCGCCGCCGCTCGACTGCCCGTGCCTCACCGCCTACCCGGCCGGCGTCAGCCTCGTGAGCGGCGAGGTGCAGGTCGTCGCGGCGGACGGCGTGAGCGTCGCGTACCCCGGCACGTACGGCCTCCACGGGTGCGACCCGCACGACAGCGGGCTCGAGCCGTCCTGCAACTCGCCCGGCTACCCCGTCCGGTGCGAGCACGAGTGGTGCTACGTCGACCCGGCCGCGTGCAACGCCGAGTACAGCACGACCGCGTACGTGGTGGGCGCCACCCCGCACTACTTGAGCCGTGCGTGCGGCTTCAGCAACGAGTTCGAGAGCTGGTTCTACCAGCCGCCGCCGCCGCCGCCGCCGCCGCCGCCGCCGCCGCCCTCGCCGCCGCTCGACTGCCCGTGCCTCACCGCCTACCCGGCCGGCGTCAGCCTCGTGAGCGGCGAGGTGCAGGTCGTCGCGGCGGACGGCGTGAGCGTCGCGTACCCCGGCACGTACGGCCTCCACGGGTGCGACCCGCACGACAGCGGGCTCGAGCCGTCCTGCAACTCGCCCGGCTACCCCGGCTGGTGCGAGCACGAGTGGTGCTACGTCGACCCGGCCGCGTGCAACACCGAGTACAGCACGACCGCGTACGTGGTGGGCGCCACCCCGCACTACTTGTGCCGTGCGTGCGGCTTCAGCAACGAGTTCGAGAGCTGGTTCTACCAGCCGCCGATGCCGCCACCGCCGCCGCCGCCGCCGCCCTCGCCGCCGCCCTCGCCTCCGCCGCCCTCGCGTCGCCGTCGCCGCCGCCTTCGCCGCCGCTCGTCTGCCCGTGCCTCACCGCCTACCCGGCCGGCGTCAGCCTCGTGAGCGCCGAGGTGCAGGTCGCGGCGGACGGCGTGAGCCTCGCGTACCCCGGCACGTACTGCCTCCACTGGTGCGACCCGCACGACAGCAGGCTCGAGCCGTCCTGCGACTCGACCTGCTACCCCGGCTGGTGCGAGCACGAGTGGTGCTACGTCGACCCGGCCGCGTGCAACACCGGGTACAGCACGACCGCGTACGTGGTGGGCGCCACCCCGCACTACTTGTGCCGTGCGTGCGGCTTCAGCAACGAGTTCGAGAGCTGGTTCTACCAGCCGCCGATGCCGCCGCCACCGCCGCCGCCGCCGCCCTCGCCGCCGCCCTCGCCGCCGCCCTCGCCTCCGCCGCCCTCGCGTCGCCGTCGCCGCCGCCCTCGCCGCCGCTCGTCTGCCCGTGCCTCACCGCCTACCCGGCCGGCGTCAGCCTCGTGAGCGCCGAGGTGCATGTCGTCGCGGCGGACGGCGTGAGCGTCGCGTACCCCGGCACGTACTGCCTCCATGGGCGCGACCCGCACGACAGCAGGCTCGAGCCGTCCTACAACTCGACCTGCTACCCCGGCTGGTGCGAGCACGAGTGGTGCTACGTCGACCCGGCCGCGTGCAACACCGAGTACAGCACGACCGCGTACGTGGTGGGCGCCACCCCGCACTACTTGTGCCGTGCGTGCGGCTTCAGCAACGAGTTCGAGAGCTGGTTCTATGCCGCCGATGCCGCCGCCACCGCCGCCGCCGCCGCCCTCGCCGCCGCCCTCGCCTCCGCCGCCCTCGCGTCGCCGTCGCCGCCGCCCTCGCCGTCGCCGCCCTCGCGTCGCCGTCGCCGCCGCCCTCGCCGCCGCTCGTCTGCCCGTGCCTCACCGCCTACCCGGCCGGCGTCAGCCTCGTGAGCGCCGAGGTGCATGTCGTCGCGGCGGACGGCGTGAGCCTCGCGTACCCCGGCACGTACTGCCTCCATGGGCGCGACCCGCACGACAGCAGGCTCGAGCCGTCCTACAACTCGCCACCGCTGCCGCAGCCACCGACCTCGCCTCCGCCGTCGCCGCCGTCGCCTCCGCCACCCCAGGTTCCTTGTCTACCCCCCTGCCTGGCGACCCGGCGAAGGCCTACGAGGGCAACTTCACCGATTGGCTGCTCGTCGCAGGCGACCGGCGAGGTCTACACCCCTCCGCCGCCCTTCCTCCTCCCTCGACCTCGCCCTCGCCGCCGCCACCGGCTCCGCCACCTCCCTCGACCTCGCCGCCGCCACCCGCCCCTCCGCCGCCCACGCCGCCGCCTCCCTCCACCTCGCCCTCGCCGCCACCCACGCCGCCGCCGCCTTCCACCTCGCCCTCGCCGCCGCCAACGGCTCCGCCGCCTGCGCGCGCCGCTTTCGCCGCCGCTGCCCGCGCCCCCGCCGCCGCTCGTGCCGCTGCCTCCGCAGCCCTCACCGCCGCCGCCCTCCGCAGCCCTACGCCGCCCTCCGCCGCCGCCGCCCTCCGCCATCCTGACCTCCGCCTCCGACATCGCAAGTTGTCCGCCGCCTCCTCTGCCACAACCCGTTTCTGCCGTCAGCTTCGTCTCCATCAGCCCTTTCGTCGCCGGAGCGATCCCACCGTCCCCCTCCTCTGCCAGCCAGCTGCCGCTTGCATGCCCTCTTGAACCGCTCCCCCCTCTCCCCACGGCCCCGCAGGCTCACCGACTTTGTCCCCCGTCCCCTCCCCTCGCATTCCAGACCCCGTTCACCTCCACAATTATAGCTGTTTGTGGTGCACATCCAATGCAACCTCGCTCGCCGCCCGACGGCGCCCCTCGGCCTCGCACCACCTGCCCCCTCCCGCTCGCAGGTGCGGCTGCGGCCATCGAGGAGCCGCGAAACGCGCGCTGCGGCCCATTGTCCACCCAAACCCCCGCGCGATCCCGGCAAGAGAGCGACACAGCCGCCTCGCACCGCCGCCCGGCTCCATTCCGAGCGCCGTGGACGCGCGAGAGAGAGATCGCGGGCGGAGCGCCGCCGCGCCCATTGCGCTCCCGCGACTCACGAGCCCGCGCCCCGCTCATCCCGTGTATGCTGACTCTCGCCCGCTGTCGCTTGCGTCCTCGCAGATCCAAAACAACGTGAGCGAGGCGTGCGTGCCGCGGCGTGCCTTGGTGCTGGGCCTCAAGCTGCGAACGCTGCGAGTAGGTGCGAATCAAATCGATCAACATCATGTCAGAGAACGAAACAGTGAAGGTCGGCATCTTGCCGGTCGAAGACGGCCTTATCAAGGCGGTCGTCTTCTCCGCGTCGAAGCCGCCTTCGCTCCTCGGAGACAAGGCGGTGCGCGTGTGCTTGTCGCAGATCTCCAATCTCCTCCCAACACGCTCCCCATCCCTCGCCCACAGGCGTACGGCGCCAAGAACGACGTGAAGGGCGCCAAGTCTGACGCGGAGGCCGTCCTCGACGAGAGCGTCCTCAAGAAAGACCTGGCCGCGGCAACGGCGCCCGCCGCGGAGGTCGAGTCGGACCTGGCCAAGGCCATGTTTGCCGCACAGAAGCCGAGCGCGAGCGCCGTTTTCTGGTCGATGTCCAAGTTTGCGCGCCCGACCGACCCGACGACGGACCCCAACGGCGTCACCACAAACGCGCCGGCTCTCAAGCCGGTCACCGAAGACGCGCCGGCTCTCGAGCCGGTCGCCGCCAGCGGCACGCCGCTGCCGTCGAGCGAGGAGGTTCCGGAGGAGACGCCCGCCCCGGCGGCGAGCGCCTTGCATTCTGCGCCGTGCGTCTGCCGACCCACCCCTTAACCCACCCCGCTTTCATTGATGCGTAGGGCAACGCCGACTGGACCGTCTCGGCCAAGGACTCTCCGCCAGCGGAGAAGCTCGCCCCGGCGGTGAGTTTCTCCCAGCACGTGCACACATGGGTGTATTGCGGGGACACGGGAGTGTACTCATATTGACCCTGTGCGTCTCGCACACGCGCAGGGCATCGACGAGTGGAAGACCGCCTCCCCGCTCCGCAAGCTCGAGCGCAAAGGCGAGCCCAACCTGGTCGACTGCTCCAAGAACACCACCCCGATTGACCCACCGACGGCTCCCAATGGCGTCACCAAAAGCGCCCCGGCTCTCACGCCAGTGGCCGCGCCGCTGCCGTCGAGCGAGGAGGTTCCGGAGGAGACGCCCGCCCCGGCGGCGAGCGCCTTGCATTCTGCGCCGTGCGTCTGCCAACCCAACCCTTGACCCACCCCGCTTTCATTGCGTAGGGCGACGCCGACTGGACCGTCTCGGCCAAGGAGTCTCCGCCAGCGGAGAAGCTCGCCCCGGCGGTGAGCGCCTCGCACGCTGCGGTGCATCGCAGAGCCTCAACTATTGACGCACCCACCGCTTGCGCGTGCGCAGGGCATCCCCGACTGGACCACCCCGTCGAACCCGCGCCGCAAGAAGGGGCGCAAGGGCGCGTCTGCCCCGATCGTCCGCACCAAGAGCATCGCCCCGGTCGGCGGCAACAACCGGTTCGCGGCCCTGCTCGGAACGAACGGCAACGAGGGCATCCTCGGTGGCACCGGCAAGGTGCCCCGCGGCTCCACGCCGCCGACCACAGACTCGGTGCGCGCCGCCTGCATATATGCGGCCCCCTCCCCCGCTCGCCGCTCAAACCGCCAGTCTCGCGCCCTCCTGTTCAGGGCGCGACGGCCGATTTCGAGACGACCATGATTACCACGCCGGAGGGCTCCGTCTCTGCCTCCGGCTGGTTCTCTTGGCCCAAGTTCTGCCCGACCTACTTGCTCCGCCTCTTTGGCATCCTCGCGCTGCTCTGCCTTGGAACCGCGTTTGCGCTCTCCTCGTACTCTGCCACCTCCGCGCTTCTCTCCTCGCAGTGGCACGAGTCCCCGACTTCCTTTCCCGCAGTCACAACGCCGATCGCGCCGGCATCGCTCAACGGCTTCTGCGAGATTGGCGGCGACGACACCAGCAGCTCGTTTGCTGCCATCGCCTCTTCGGACAGCGTGCCCGCCGACCACCCGGTGCTTGCTCGCTCGCGCTTGCTAGTACTCGCACCGCGCCAGCTCGTGACCCACAGCCCGCGCGCTGTTCAGGGCGGACGCGACGAGGGGCGCTTGCTGGAAGGACTGCTGGAAGACGTCAAAGAGGCGGTGGGCGAGCCGTTGCACCTGATTGGCGAGCCGCCGGCGTCCATCATCAAGGACGTTTACGAGAAGCAGCCGGTGAGCGCCCCTCTGGCTGTGTGCGAGCCTGTGTCGCCCTCTGACGGATTGCCTGTGTGTTTGCGTGTAGGGCGAGGCCGACTTGGAGACCGTCCTAGCCTCGCGCAACAGCACGGAGCGCAAGGGCGAGCCCGAGATCGACTTTGTCGGTCCCGTCTACAGCAACAGGACGGGGATCATCGCTCGGGGGCGCGACACCGTCCTGCCCGTGAACGACACGTCGCCCAAGTTGCGGCCCGCCGACGCTGGGAAGCCCGGGATCAAGGTGCGGAAGCTGGTTGAGGCTGGCCTCGCTGGGGCCTCCGTGCTGCTCGGGCGGCTCGTCTCGCAAGCCGGCATGACCGCCACCCTCGTCCACGTGGGCGCCGGCGCTCTGCTCGTCAGCAACGCGGCTGCGTCTCCTGCGGATCCTACCCCCGCTCCGCCGCCGCCGCCGCCGCCCCCTCCCCTCTTCCTCGACCAAACCCCATCCGCAGACGGCCGCCGCCGCTTCCCGCTGCCGGCCGTCCGCCCCAACGGCGCGTACAACGGCTACGCGGCTCGCGTCTCGCTCTCGCCGCCCTACTACGCTGGCAGCTTCGGGCAGGCTGGCTGTCCCAGTGGCCAGCAGATCACGACTTGGTCCGAGTGCGCTGCGGCTATAGATTCGCTCGGTCTCTGCAGGAACTCAAAATGGACAGGCAGCCTCACCTCAATCCCCTGCACCTGCTCGCACCGTCCCAACAACTGTGGAAGCCACGACCATCACTGGAACACCAGAACCAGTGGCTGTTCGGGGCGCAGCGACGTCAAACCCATTTGCAAGTCCCCGCCAGCGCCCCCGCCGCCCTCGTCCCAGTCATACTACGCTGGCGGCTTCGGGCAGGCTGGCTGTCCCAGTGGCCAGCAGATCACGACTTGGTCCGAGTGCGCTGCGGCTATAGATTCGCTCGGTCTCTGCAGGAACTCAAAATGGACAGGCAGCCTCACCTCAATCCCCTGCACCTGCTCGCACCGTCCCAACAATTGTGGAAGCCACGACCATCACTGGAACACCAGAACCAGTGGCTGTTCGGGGCGCAGCGACGTCAAACCCATTTGCAAGTCCCCGCCGCCCCCGTCTCCGCCCCAGTCGCCGCAGCCGCCCCAATCGCCCCCGTCTCCGCCCCAGTCGCCTCCAGGGCCGCCACGCTCTCTCGGCAATTGCGGTACAGGCACGCTCGAGGTCACGGCCGACACCACGCTCAACACTGACCAGCACCCGTACGGCTTATACTTCTATCAGTCCATCCGGATTGCCGCCGGCGCGACCCTTAGCGCCACCGGCTCCAACCCGCTGATCCTCGTCGCTGACACAGTTGTCGACATCCAAGGCACCATCGACACGTCGGGTGGAAAGGGCGGCAATTCGGCGCCAGGGGACAACCAAGGCACCAATGACATGTCGGCGGGTGGCGGCGCGGGTGGCGGCGCCGTCAAGATCGTGTCGGCGCGGATCACAGTCGGGTCCAGCGGCGCCATCCGCGCCGACGGCGGCGACGGCGGCGACGCGGGCGGCCCGGGCCAAAGCTTCACGGCGTGGTGGTTCACCCCTGGCGACGGCGCGGCCGGCGTGGGCGTGGCAGGAGGATATGATGGCGGCGCTGGTGTGGGCTCGAGCAAAGCTGGCAAACCAGGTAGCGGACCAGGCGCGTCGGCAGGAGGTCAGTATCACACTGGCGTGCCGCCGGGCGCCGGCGGCGCGGGCCACGCGTTTGCAGGTACCGATGGCTTCGGGGAGTACTCTGGCATCAGGCCGCCGGGCGGCCCAGCCTACGGAGACGCCGAGCTGTCTGGCGGCCTCCAGGGCGGCAGCGGTGCGGGCAGTGGCGCCAACGACCCCGACAACGAGGAGGGCGCAGGAGGCGGTGGATCGGGCGGCACGATCTATCTCGTGGCGCCGACGCTGCAGATCCAAGGAGTCGTGTCGGTGGCGGGCGGCTTGGGCGGCCGCGACGACTACCACTACAACGGGGAGGCCGACCGAGAGGGCTACAACAACGGCGGGCCGGGCTCGGTCGGCCGCATCCGTCTCGACTACGAAACATTCACCCATGGAACCGCGGCGCCCGCCTATTACCAAGGCGAACTTGGTGATTTGAGCAACTTCTGCACGCCATCGCCACAGTCACCGCCGTCCTCGCCGTCGCCGCCGGCGCAGCCGCCGCTCTCTCCGCCGCCCCTGTTGCCACCTCCCTCTCCGCTGTCGCCGCCCTTCCTGCCGCCGCCGCCCTCTCCGCCGCCTCTTACACCCGACATGGTGCAGCTGGGCTGCGATTTCGAGGTCGACACCTGCATCTGGAACGACACCGCGCCGGACGGGTTCAGTTGGACACGCACCAACGGCGGCACTCCATCGTCCAACACAGGCCCGAGCGGCGACCACACCACTGGCTCGGGCGCCTACCTCTTCACCGAGGCCTCGTCTGGACGCTCCAACAAGCTGCACCAGCTCGAGAGCCCGCGCTTCTCGCTCCAGCAGGACGCCACCCTTTCCTTCTTCTACCACATGCTCGGCTCATCCATGGGCACGCTCTCCATCGAGGCAAACGACAACGAGACGGGCTGGTCGACGCTCTGGAGCAAGAACGGCGACCAGGGCGACGCCTGGCTCGACGCGGCGGTCGTTCTGCCCGCGTCCACGATCAAGGTGCGTTTCAACGGTGAGACGGGGCCTTTCTGGAGCTCGGACATGGCGCTGGACGACGTCTCCTTCTCGCGGTTTGCGCCGCCCTCCCCGCCCCCGTCTCCGCCCCTGCCCCCGCCGCCGCCGCCGCTCGGCCCCGGTTTTGTCGCCGAGAACGAGAACGAGCTCCGCTCCCTGATCGCGGGGGCTAGTGGCGACATCCTGATCCACTTGCGGCCCAGTGCGTACTTCTATCCGAGCAGCGAGATCAGCTGCACCTCCAACATCAAGGTGACCGTCGCCAGCAGCGGCGCGACGCTCGACGGCCAGGGGTCGACCCGGCTCTTTGACCTCTCGGGCGGCTGCAGCCTTACCCTGCGGGGGCTGACCATCGTCAACGCGAGGGCGGACTACGGCGGCGTTGTGTCCGCGAGAGGCGCAGGCGACGTCGAGATCATCGACTCGGATGTGAGGGATTGCGCGGCAACTAAACCGCAGCAAGGGGTGCGCCGCACAGCCACTGCCCGCACGGCAGCGGAGCGAGAGAGATAGAGAGGGCCACGGCTGCCTCACCCACCTCTCTCCTCGCAACCTCAGAGCGGCGGCGTCGTCGCCATGTCTTACAGCGGCGCGGTCTCGCTCATCGGCTCGTTCGTGTCGGGCTGCTCGGCTACCCAGGTGCGCTGCGTCCCACCCTGCAGCGCCGCACGACAGCGGGGCGAGACACAAAGAGAACGCGGCTGACTCACACCGCCCTCTCCTCGCAACCGTAGCACGGCGGCGTCGTCTTCATGTCGTACAGCGGTGCGGTCTTGCTAGCCGGCTCGACCGTGAGCGGCTGCTCGGCTGACAGGGTGAGCCGCACGGCAGTGGGGGCTTGAGATGGAGAGGGCCACGTGCCTGACCCCGTAGCTCTCCCGCTTCGCAACCGCAGTTCGGCGGCGTCATCTACACGGGTGAGAGCGGTGCGGTCTCGTTGCGGGAATCGACAGTTACTGGATGTTCGGCTGCCAGGGTGAGCTAGCCGCCTCCTTGCGCAGCACAGCACGAGATAGAGAGGCAGAGGCCGCGGCTGCCTCACCCTGCTCGCTCCTCTCAACCGCAGGAGGGCGGCGTCGTCTGGACTGACGGTGGTCAAACGGGGATCGGCTACCTCTCCATCGCGGGTGTCGCTTTCATCGACAACTCGGCTCCGGCCTACTCGGTGCTGTACCTGTCCCGCCTCCTCCATAAAAGCTCCTTCAGTAACGCCTCCTTCATCGGCAACACCGCCGACGACGACTTGACGATAGGGACTAGCGCCGGGTTTGGAAAGGGCTCTGAGATAGACTGGGACTGCCACTTGGGCCGCTGGATGCCGAACAAGGGCAGCTTGTTCGCCAGCTTCAGCGCCCCTGAGTGCTACCTTTGCCCTGCTGGCAACTACGGAGCAACGAGCGGCCTCACCAACTCCTCCTGCAGCGGCCAGTGCATCAGGGGCCACTTTTGCGGGAAGGGCACCGCCAATCCCGAGCCCTGCCCAAGCGGACACCACTCACCCGTCACTGGAGCGCCGCGAGAGGAGTTCTGCATCCCGTGCGCTCCTGGCCAGTATCAGCCCCTCACAGGCCAATCGGACTGCCTCACTTGCCCCGCGGGCAGCTTCTCTCCCAACGTCGGCCTCGCCGCCTGCGACCCTTGCCCGCGCGGCGGCTACTGCGACGAGGCGGGCGCCGCCACCCGCATGGTCTGGGAGCCCTGCCCCGCGGGCAGCTTCAACCCGACCAACGGCTCCAACTCGAGCGCCGCGTGCGAGCTCTGCCCTGCAGGGACTGCCAGCGCAACGCGGGGCGCGGAACGCAGCGATACGTGCGCGCCGTGCCTCCCAGGCACCGTCGCCGCAGCGGCGGGTCTCGGCGAATGTGCCAGCTGCGGCGGAGGAACGTATCAGAACGACTCGGGCGCGACGGGCTGCCGCGATTGTTTCCCGGGCTACTATTGTGCCGAGGGCGCGGCAGCGCCGCTGCCGTGCGAGGGCGGCAGCTACTCGAGCGCGACCGACAACGACGAGCCCGACGACTGCACTCCGGCCGACCCTGGCTACTTCGCGGTCACGGGCTCCACGCAGCAGACGCCGTGCGCCAAGGGGTCGTACACGAACGAGACCAAGCGGGGCGAGTGCACGCCCTGTTCCGCCGGCACGTACCAGGACGAGGGCGGGAAGACAGAGTGCAAGCCGTGCGAGGCGGGCCACTACTGCGCCAAGGGCGCGGCGGCGGCGCTGCCGTGCGAGGCTGGCAGCTACTCGCGCGCCACCAACCTCTCCGACGCGAGCGAGTGCACCGACGCCTCGCCGGGCTACTTCGCCACCACCGGCTCCACCGAGCAGACGGCGTGCGCCAAGGGGTCGTACACGAACGAGACCAGGCAGGGCGAGTGCACGGCCTGTTCCGCCGGCACGTACCAGGACGCGGAGGCGCAGACGGCGTGCAAGCCGTGCGAGGCGGGCGGCTACTGCGCCAAGGGCGCGGCGGCGGCGCTGCCGTGCGAGGCTGGCAGCTACTCGCGCGCCACCAACCTCTCCGACGCGAGCGAGTGCACCGACGCCTCGCCGGGCTACTTCGCCACCACCGGCTCCACCGAGCAGACGGCGTGCGCCAAGGGGTCGTACACGAACGAGACCAGGCAGGGCGAGTGCACGGCCTGTTCCGCCGGCACGTACCAGGACGCGGAGGCGCAGACGGCGTGCAAGCCGTGCGAGGCGGGCGGCTACTGCGCCAAGGGCGCGGCGGCGGCGCTGCCGTGCGAGGCTGGCAGCTACTCGCGCGCCACCAACCTCTCCGACGCGAGCGAGTGCACCGACGCCTCGCCGGGCTACTTCGCCACCACCGGCTCCACCGAGCAGACGGCGTGCGCCAAGGGGTCGTACACGAACGAGACCAGGCAGGGCGAGTGCACGGCCTGTTCCGCCGGCACGTACCAGGACGCGGAGGCGCAGACGGCGTGCAAGCCGTGCGAGGCGGGCGGCTACTGCGCCAAGGGCGCGGCGGCGGCGCTGCCGTGCGAGGCTGGCAGCTACTCGCGCGCCACCAACCTCTCCGACGCGAGCGAGTGCACCGACGCCTCGCCGGGCTACTTCGCCACCACCGGCTCCACCGAGCAGACGCCGTGCTCGCCGGGCACCTTCACCGCTCTCGCCGGACAGAGCATCTGCCAGAGGTGCCCTGCCGGCGAATATCAGGACTCGAGCGGCGCCACCAACTGCACCACGTGCGTGTCGGGCCATTACTGCGCCGAGGGCGCCTCTGCTCCGCTGCCTTGCCCCGCCGGGACGCGCATCAACGCCTCCCTCGACCTCATGACGAGCAAGGACGACTGCATCACCTGTCCGGCCGGCACGTTTTGCCCGACCGGCTCTGATGACGCCATCGACTGCGCGCCGGGCACCTTCACCGCCCTCGCCGGACAGAGCATCTGCGAGAGGTGCCCTCGCGGCACGTCCTCCGACGCCGGCAGCTCTTCCTGCGACGACTGCGCTGCCGACACTTACGCCGCCAACGTGGGTCAGGGCGAGTGCATCCCCTGCCCCTACCCTCTTGCTAGCGGCACCGGCAGCGTCACCTGTTCCGTCTGCAAGGCGGGATTCTACCTGAAGGCGAGCGTCGATCCAGATGACGTCTTCAAATCCCCAACCAAGTACTGCGTCCCGTGCCCGTCGGACGCCGCGTGCCCGGTCGGCACCACCCTCGAGACCCTCGTCCTCCCGCCCGGCTTCTGGCGCGCCAGCCCCTCCTCCGCCGTGTTGACAGAGTGCCGCCTCTTTGGCGGCAATGCCGAGGCCGGCGAGACGCGGTGCGCCGGCAGCGAGCCGGTGGCGAGAAAGGCCTCTCGCCGCCGGAGGATGGTGGAGGCGGGCTCGGACGCGTACTGCGCTTCGGACTTCAAAGGGCCCGAGTGCCGGCTCTGCGCTGCGCCAGACCACCACCTCGTCGACGGTGACACCTGCGAAGTATGCGCTCCGCGCGCCGCCGCTGTGGGCCGCATCGTAGGCCTCGTCCTCGGCCTCTGCGTCGCGTGCGGCTTGGCGGCTTGGGCCTACCACATGCCGTGGCGGAAGAAGCGCATCATCGGCTGTCTCCTCCGCTTTGCAGACCGCTCCGTCAAGTACTACGTCGGGGTCGGAATGACGGCCAAGGTCAAAATCCTGTTCGGCTTTTACCAGATCAGCACCGTATTGTCCTCCACCTACTCCGCGCGGCTGCCAAACAAGTACACGGGCTGGACGGACAACTTGGCCAACGTGATCTCCGTCGACTGGTCTGGCTTTTTCCTGCCGGAGCAGTGCCTCGGCTACGCTCTGCGGCTCCTCGCCATCGCCCTCTCCCCCGTCGCCCTCATCGCCCTGCTAATGGTTGCGGGAATAAGTCTGCGGCTCCACGGCTGGCGTGCTGCCCCGCCGCCGCGCGAGAGAGCGTGGTACGCGGAGGCGGCCCTCGGCCTCCTCGACCTCACGCCGGCCGGCTTGGTGCTCATCTTCTGCTTCGTGCCCTCCATCAGCGCCTCCATCTTCCGCTCCTGGTCGTGCCAGGCGCCCTCTCATAGCTGACTGCCGTTGCTCACAACCCCACCCCTCAGTCCTCGCGACGTTCTGCTGATAGGCCTACACCATCTCTCCGCCAAACGAGCCCCTGCGGCAGGTCTCCTACATGCGGCAGGACGCGAGCGTCGAGTGCGGCTCCGACGATCACGGACCCATCACCGGCCTCGCCATCGGCTTCATCGCCCTCTGGCCCGCCGGCTCGCTGGTCCTCTTCACGTCGCTCCTCGCCGCTTGCTACAAGCCGCTGCAGGCCAAGACGCCGAATGCTCTGACGCGGGCCACCGCCTTCCTCCACCGGGAGTACGAACAAAATTGGTACTGGTGGGAGGCGGTCGAGCTGGCGCGCAAGCTCGTGCTGACCGGTTTCGTGCTTCTGATACCGGAGGAGCGAGCCTTTGTTCGCCTGGTGGTGGCGACCCTAGTCTGCTCATGCTACGCCGTCGCGCTCGCCGTCGTGCGGCCGTACAAGCGGGTCGAGGACAACGTCATCGCCGTCGCCACGAGCCTCGTGCTCCTCCTGCTCTTCCTCGGCACCAACTGGAGCACCATCTTCCTCGGCATCCAGGAGCGCTCCGGGATCGATGATGCCAATGCAGTCCTCGGCTTCCGCAGCCTCACTGTGATTGTCGACTCGATGATCATCCTCGTTGCAGTCGTGCTCGCCTTCTTCCTCGTCGGCGCCATCGTCGCCGCCCGCCGCGTCGCCAAGGTCCCCACGATCCGCCTCGTCTCGACCAAGCAGCCCCCCGAGATGAGCATCGGGACTGGCCTCACGTGGCACCTCTTCAACAGCCACATCTGGTGAGTCATAGCTATGGAGGGAGAAGAGGAACAGCAACCCGCCACAACATACCCGGCGGATTCCGATAGGTCGACCGGTCAAGACGCCGTAAAGGTCATCAAGGGTGAGCTCGAGCAGCTGCTGCCGGACATCAAGATTTTTCTCGACGCGCGCACACGCTCAGCAGCGCTGCTTTAGCTACCACAGCCCCTCTGACGCTCCGCGGTGGTGTGCTCTCATAGGTAGATGATCTGAAGGATATCGGGGCGCTTGAGGAGTACATCCAACGCTCGCAAGCCATCCTCTTCTTCCTCTCGCAGGGCTACTTCCGCTCCAAGGCGCGCCTCTCCTTCCCACCCCGCCTCTACCGCCCTCTGGCCGTACCTCCCGCCTCTCCCGTGCCACAGAACTGCCTTCGAGAGATTCGCTCGTCGCTCGAGAAGGACAAGCCGCTCGTCCTCGTCCAAGAAGCGGACCCTGCAAAGGGCGGCGGGACGCTGCAGGCGCTGCGCGACGAGTGCCCCGAGGACCTGCAGCCGGCCATCTTTGACGAGGACTGGCCGCTCACGATCTGGTATCGCATCGAGGAGTTTCAGCTCGTCTCCCTCAAGATCATCGCCGAGGCGCCGCCGGCCACAGCCAGCCGCTACGCAGTCCTCTCCGTCTCCCGACCGACCCCACTGGAACCACAGGCGGTGCTCCTCTGTTCGCCCAACTTTCTGGACAAGACCTCCCTCCCGCTCTGCGTGTCGGGCGAGCTCGAGAGCGAGTCGCTCGCCTTTTCCAAACCGTGCACGCTCTGGGCCTCGCCTGCCAACGCGGGCGCTCTGGAGCTGGCCACCGAGATCGCCACCGCCGTTGCCGGTCTCACGATCTCCACCACTGATGATCGACCGGCCAGCGCGACGCACATGCTGCTCTACCTCAACGAGGAGAGCTTCGTCAGCGACGGGGAGCGGCTGGCCGAGCAGGTCAAGCAGGCGCGCCAGGACAGGCTGAAGATCGTCATGGCGCACGAGAACGACCCCGCGCTCGGCGGCTGCCAGTTCTCGAGGTTTTTCGAAGTCACACCGCAGGAGCGAATGTCTCACCGTGGCGCCCGTCCCGAGCCTCCCCTCCCCCTACAACCCTCTCCTCCCAACGCCGCAGGAGCTCATCGCTGGCGGACTCTACACGGACCTGGCAAAATCGTGCTTCCCCGGCCGCCACCGCAAGGCGCGCGCCCTCTCTCTCTCACAGCGAGCTCTCCCCCGCATCGAGCGTTTCGTGAAGAGGGGCGTCCCTGTCCGCAGGTGTCGCTCGTGCTTCTGGCAAAGAGCCTAGGGGCTACCCCCGCTCGCGCGGACCTCCGCGTTTCGGGCAGCATCGCCGAAGCGGGGGACCTCATTTCCGGTGGCATTGGCGAGGGCAGCACCAGCCTCGCGAAGCGCAGCCTTGGCGGCCTCAGCCGGGTGTTCGCCAAGATGAGCAGCCGCAGCTCTGCGGAGGCGCGCGACGTCTCTGCAGGCGAGGCGTCGTCGGTGCAGCACCAGGTCTGATCGTAGCCAAACACTCGTGTGCCGTCTTGCCGTTTGCGTCGCTGGCACTAGACCCGCCACGCCCTGGCCTGGAGGGCGGGGCCCGGCGCCACATGGCCACCGGCCAAACCGTCTAGTTCTTATTATGGGCGACGTGCGTCGTTTGAGCGACACAGTTTATTCTAGTTTGGGTCTTTGGGAATGGCGGCGGATGCGGCGGCGACGTCGCTGGAGTCGTCGTCCGTCGGCATTTCAGGCTCATCCCGCAAGGCGGACACGCACATGACACATCGCTCTCGCCCTCTCGGGGCCCCACAGACGACATGCAGACATCCCGCACACCCTTAAGTCACGCGACCCACACAAAGCACCAAAGTTAGGCATACCCCCCGGCGCAGTGTCCCCCGCTATGTGTCGCCGTTCGTCGGGGCACGCAATCCTGTGCAGTCAGGGCAAGTGGGGGCGGGGCGGACAGCCCAGAGTCTGTCCTATACCCTCTGTGGGATCTCTCCGCCCAGTCCGGGGGTGCGTCGAACCTTCCATCACCCTGTCGGAAGCGGCGTGCCGGTGCAGGCACGTCCGGGTTTTGGAAGTAAAGATATATTACTTTTTTTTTGTCGGCCTCCCATGACTGGACCTCTCCGTCGCGGGCAGGGGCTGCTGCGGACCTGCGTCCAGTCGATGCGGGCTCGCGGCTACTGCGGGCGTCCGAGCTCGATCTCGAAGCTCGGTGTCATGCTGCTGGCCCGACGGGCAGTAGTGCTTGTGGGTCTCTCGACGCTTGGCTGCTGCGCGCGTGGTAGACACCGCCGGGGCCGAGCCCGTGGCCGGTGCTCGCGCGCGGCCAGACACTCCCAAGGCCGAGCAAGCGTTCACTGTTGCCTCTCGCCTTCCGCGCCGCCTTGCTCGCGGCGCGGCTGGGGGGCGTCAGGGACACGGCAGGCACCGCGAGCACGGCGGCGAGGAGGTGGTCCGAGCGATCGAGCAGGCCGTCCCTTTTCAGTCCGCGCTGGTGCTCGAGGCAGTGGCGGATTGCGGTGAGCGAGAGGTCAGGCCGGCGTTCGCAGAGAGCCGCCGCCTCGGCGGAGAGCGCCAAGGCCTCTTCAGCCTCGACTGAGGCTCTCCACTGCCGCACGAGGCAGGCAATCTCCTGCGGGCAGTGTGCAAGGACTGCATTCAGGGCGGTGAAGAGCAGATATCGCTAGCCATTGGGAGGCGGCTGCCGCACCTCTGCCGCAATCTTCGTGACTCCGACGCCCTCCACCCCTAGGACTGCCTCTGCGCTCTCAGGCGCAGTCTCGGCGAGGGCCCTGAGCACTCCCTCTTTGAGCGCCGCTTCGGGCGCCGTGCGGGAAGCCCTTGCTTGCTCGAAGCGCCAGGCAGCCAGCTGCACATACAGCGTGTCGCTGGGGCTCGAGGGCGACGAGCCACTCCCCCTGCTGGAGCGGCGGCTCGAGAGGGCTCGACTCCAGCGTGGCGCGATCCCCCCGGAGGGCCTCCGCCCCGCCGGTGGGGGCGGCACGTCTCCCATCGGTGAAACGGAGTTCCGGGCGCGGCGGCTGGGACGGGCGCCCGCCGCGTTTCATTTAATTTTTATTGAGCTTAGCCTTCGATGTTATGAAACAAACGCAAGGCGGACATGGCATATCGCTCTCGGGCCCACAGACATCCCGCACACCCGCCGCCCCCCGCGCGCGCCCACCCCGGCCGGGAGAAAGGGGAGTGACAGTTTGTTTGGGACGGCAACAGAACGAGTATGTTGAGTCCTGGCTCAACAACGCAGAGAGAAATGAAAGCCGTCCGGCTCACAAGTCCGCTCACGCGCCTCGAGCTGACCATCTACCGCACTGATCACTTCCGCCCCCTCGCTCCCAACCCATCCACCTCGCCTCGGGCCGCGCCGCGCAATCTCGGGCGATCTCGCGCTATCTCGGGCGATCTCGGGGCCGCGCCGCGCTATCTCGGGCGATCTCGGAGCGTCGCTCGCGCGGCGTCACACCGGCTCAAAAAAGGAAGGGCCTGGTTGGAGCCACGGGGCTCACGTGCTCGCTCGGTTCTCGCCGCCTCGCTCTGCGCCACTTGGGCCGGTGAGGCGGCGCCCCGCGCGGCGCGTTCCATTTTTATTTCGGTTACGCCAACCGGGGGCGGACGGGCGGGCGGTTCTTCTCGTGCCACTGTGTTGGATCTCTTGTGTGGGGGGTCATGAACTCTCACCGTCTCACGACGAGTCAAAACTAACATCCCAGACTTCCTAGGGCGGGACCTGAAAACCAGAAGAAGAAGAAAACATAGCTTGAGGGAGCTGATAAGCAGCGGAAATTCTTTTACCGTGGTGTGCCTGTGTTAGTGCCAGTGCGCGCCAGTCCCGTGCCCAGTGTTGTGCGAGGGAGTTTGATTGTAATTTTTTTCAACCCTTCTCTCCTCAAGCTCAAGACGGCAGGGCTACGTCAAGCACAAGTTTTTTCTTTCTTGGCGTGGACTAACCGACGCTTGTCTTACCGAGCTCTTACCTGCTCGCGGCTCGCGCTGCTGGGCCGGCGATGGTGAGCGATGTCGCGGTGCAGTCAATACTGAACAACACGGCGGACGCGGTGGAGGAGATGATAGAGGGCCTGGTGCTGCTGAACCCCTCGCTGAAGCGGCTCGGCGGCCACAACGTCGTCGTGAGGGCTTCGCTCGACAGGAGCAAGGTCGCGCTTGTGTCAGGCGGCGGCAGTGGGCACGAGCCGTCTCACGCGGGCTGGGTCGGGGAGGGCATGCTCTCGGCCGCGGTGTGCGGTGCCGTCTTCGCGTCGCCGTCAACGGCGGCGGTGCTCGCGGCGATACTGCACGTGACGGGGCCGGCGGGCTGCCTCGTGGTCGTGAAAAACTACACGGGCGACCGGCTCAACTTTGGCCTCGCGTGCGAGCACGCCAAGGCGCTCGGGCTCTCCGTCGAGCTCGTCGTCGTCGGCGACGACTGCGCCTTGCCCCACCGCGGCCTCGGCATCGCCGGCCGGCGCGGGCTCGCGGGGGCGCTTCTCGTGCACAAGGTCGCCGGCGCGGCGGCGGCGGCGGGCGGGAGCCTCGAGAAGGTTGCGGCGGAGGCGCGGAGCACCGCGGCCTCCCTCGGCACGGTGGGCGTCGCGCTCAAGACCTGCCATCCCTTCGGCACCATCGTCGAGGAGCGCATCGCCGCCGGCAGCATGGAGGCGGACCTGCGCCCGCCCGCCTCGCTCCCTCCCCACTCCTCCACACCGCTGCACCGTCTGCGCATCGGCGCAGCGGGCGAGGGAGCCGTCCTCGTCGCTCTCCTCCCCCTCCCCCTCCCCCTCCTCCTCCCGTGCGCTGCACCGACTCAAACCAGCAAGCATCGCTCGCTCCACACACTGTCACACCTGCACCCCCCACCCCACCCCACCCACCTTCCTGCCCGCCGCTAGCGCCAGAGGCACGTCCCCGCCCACACCGACCACCCCGGGGGGCCGCGCGTTCACCTCCGGGGGGGCGCGCGCCTCCCCAGCGAGCCACACCATATCTCCCCATATCTCCCCAGCGAGCCACACCGACACACCGAGCCCCGCCACACCGGACACCGCCGCGCGCTGCGCCGCGCCACGTGTGGGGAAGGGCAGGGGGAGAGAGCGGCACGGCGTGGGCAAGGGGAAGGAGGGG